GTTATTCAGTTGTCCAGAGATACCATAGGATTTTATTTTTAGGAGTAGTTTGTCGTGTACCACTGAATCAAAGGCTTTACAGAAGTCTATGTAGATTGCGTCTATTGCTTTGCCCTGGTTGAGTTGTGTCGTCCATATGTTTTTGCAGTGTAAGAGTTGCAGATTACAGGATAGTTTTTTTCTGAAACCAAATTGTTTATTGGAGAGTAGGTTGTTTGTCTCTAAGTGGAGGATGATGGATTGGTTAATAATTGATTCCATGACTTTACAGGTGACGCAGCATAAGGCGATTGGTCTGTAATTTTCAACTAGGCTTGGGTCTCCCTTTTTGAAGATGGGGATGACTGTGGTTTGTGACCATAGGTTAGGCAAGGAGCTGGTCCTGAAAGATTTTTCAAAGATTATGCTTAGAGGTTTGGCTATGGCAGTGGATAGCTTTTTTAAGAAGTAGGCACATATTCCATCCGGTCCAATAGATAGAGATGGTTTTAGATTGCGTAGTGCTTTTTCAACATTGTCTTCTGTGAAATCGATATGTATTAGGTCATTGTTGTTATCTGTGGTACGGCTAGGAAATACTGGACATGATCCATTGCTGTTTACAAATACTGAGCCGAAGAATGTGTTAAAGATGTTGGCTTTAATGGTGTCGTCATTGCAGTCTTTACCATCAGGTCCTATCAAGGGTCGGATAGACCTTGAGTCTTTTAGTTTGTTGTTTACAAAATTGTAAAACGCACGGGTGGAATTGGTGCTTAGAAGGTTTTCCTCTTGTTTAATGTGATAATTGGTGCATTCGGTCTTTATCTGGTGGCATAAATTTTTGTATCGGTTTTTGAAATTGGCAACGTGACCAGATTTGTTTTTCCGCCAGAGTGATCTCTTTTTGGATTGAAGTTTCCTTATTGATATGGGTAATCTGCTTTTTTGTTTTGTTTTGGGAGTTGTTGTTGGTACATATAGTTTGATGACTCTTTTGACTTCAAGTAAAAATATGTTGTAATGGTCTTCAACAGTATTGCATCCAGTGAATAGAGATTGCCAATCAAGGGATGAGAGATCGTTGTCTATAAGATCATAGTTGCCTTTTTTGAAGTTACAATTGGGGATTACATCATTGTGGTGATTTTTGTGTGGGCGTATATTGAGACAAAAGTCAATCATATTGTGGTCACTGCTGGAAAAGGGTTCTTTAGTTTGTATTCCGTAAATTAAATTCAAACTATTGCAGAAGATGAGATCGAGGCAGTTGTTTAGTCTAGTGTTGTTGGTTACTAGTTGTTCCAGTCCCAGATTTGTAGTAGCATTGTAGAAGGTTGTGTGTATGATTTCAGTTGTACAATCATTTAGGGTCCAGTCAATATGAGGTAGATTGAAATCGCCAAGAAAGATAAAAGGGTATGGGCAGGATGCAGCCCATGTTAGTAATGTATTTAGTTTGTTTACATGTTCGATGTCATAATCAGGTGCTCTGTAACATAGTAAGAATCGAATTGTGATATTTAAGGATAGTTCACAGATGATGGTCTCAGGAAGAGCAAGCTCCTGGGTAACTTGGATATTTTTTAGATGTAAGGACTTTTTATAGAAGATAGCAACACCACCTCCTCTACGAATTTCATGATCTGATCGGTAAACATGATAGTCTCTTACTGTGGTAATGGAGTCAGGGAGAGATGCATAGAGCCATGTTTCACAGACAAATATAATGTCGAATTTAGCCATATTTAGTAGAAGGAAAAATTCAGGTATTTTATTCACGAGGCTTCTTGCATTGAGTAGTTTGCATTTAAGGCCAGCAGTAGTTGGAATTGAGGTAGTTAGGGGCGTGCATGCCTAGTCTTGGGTGATGGTGGATCGGTTGAGGTAGGGTTGTGGTTGAGGGTTAAAGCTGAGTTGCGGGTTGTGTGGCTTACTTTTGATACAGTCAGCATGGTAGTCAATGTACAGGTCCTTCTCTCCATTGTCTAGACGTTTTTTGAGTTCGGTGCGGAGTACACGGGAGCGGGCACGTTGCTGTATGGTTAGGTCAGGGCGACAACGGAGGTTCTTATGGTTGGTGTTGGTTTTGGCGAGTGAATTTATAGTGTAAATGAATTTACATTTGCTTGATTCATTTTTGCAAATGATCCTGCACAAGCGTGGGGCCACAGAGCCGTCTCTGTTTTTGAGCTCTCGGCCAATGCGGGAAATGTCAAGTATTTCATCAGCGGAGATGGTTGATGCTTGATAATCACTGATGATGTTTCGGACAGTTGTGATGTCATCATTGTCATTGATGTCCTCTAGACCAAATAAGATGGCATTTGGACGTTTCCGTTCACGCTCAACAGCTTCTCTGATGAGGATTGGGATATCAATATTTGTCTGGGTTGTGTTTATTTGTGGATTGGGTTTTGGATTGGGTTGTGGTTGTTGGGTAGAGATGGCTTGCTGCAAGGAGGCAAATTGCTGGGAGGCAGAGGCAGATTTTTTTCTTGTTTTCCTCCCCAAAAGCTAGGTGCATCTTATACTTCAGAACGCCTTAAACTCCAAAAAATACAGTAATGTGTAGAAGCCTGTTGAAGAGAGAACCAATATAGAAGTAAAGAGTACTGTAATTTTCTGACAGTGAGAACAATTAATAAAAAGTAATTGTGGGGCTGTCACAAAGAAGAGGCATTTGACTTATTCTTTTTTTTAAAATAAAGTTTAAGTTTCATATATTTAAAACATTTATAAAGAAACAAACAAACATATAAACAAATATATATACATATATACATTTTGCAGCAGGTATTGAGCGTTGGTTACATTTTTCCTTTCTTTTTTTCTTTTACCCCATAACATTGACGTGATCTACCTTGTTACAATACCTTCCTTGTTCTTTTAATGTTTTATTTTCACAGAATACTTTATGATTAAATGCATGTCCTTCATAGTGACCATCTCATCTGAAGGGACGATAGACAGTTTCCAATTTGAGCGTAGCTTATTCTGGCTGCCGTTATAATGTGCAAGATTAAATATTGATTTTTTTTTTTTTTGAGTCTATCATACCCAGCAAAAAGTTTTCGGGTTCAAGTTTTACATCTTGTTTAGTTATATTTAGAATCCAATTTTTGATATTTTTCCAAAACTCCTGGGCATATGGACATGTCCACCACATATGAAAGTATGTTCCCTGAACGCAGTTACACTTCCAGCAGTTTGGGGGGAGGTTCGGGAACATCTTAGCCAGTCTCGCTGGTGGCAAGTGCTAACGATACACCATTTTATAGAGATTTTCTTTGTACGAGGCTGACATAGTTAGTTTGTAATTTATTTCCCAACTATGTTCCCACTTGTCTAATTCTATACTGTGGCCCACATTTTTTGTCCAAATTATCATACACTCCTTGACTGTTTCTTCTTTTAATTTATAATCCAATAGATATTTATATATTTTACTAATCAATTTCCTTTCCTCTCCATGCCAAATCTTATCTAATTCTTGGTAGGTCATATTAAAACCAAATTGTTCTTTTTCTTTTTTGTAATGCATTTGTATCTGCACATATGGCCACCATGCTATCTCTTTTCCTTGAATTTGTATTTGATTCCTATCCTTTAACTCTCCGGTTTCATGTAATAGATCTTTATGTCTTGCAATAGTATCAAAATCTAAAACATTTGGATGGGTAACTGCCTCCATTGTAGATAACCACAGTTGGACCTTACAGTAATGTACTTTTTAAAAACCTTTTCCCAAATAGTTAATAACACACTCCTTATATAGTGCCTTTGAAAGTACAAGTGGTGTTTACTCTTTCCATCCCACATAAATGCATGCATTTGACTTATTCTTTAGGGCACCAGAGGGCAGAACAAAAAGTAATGGGGAGAAACTTGTCAAAGAAAGAACCAGCCTAGAAGTAAGGAGAAATTAATCAACAGAAGAGCTCACCTCCATGGATGTGGGTTCACTATCACTGGAAGTTTTCAGAATAGACTGAATATCCATGGTATAAAACTCCTGCCTTGAGAAAACTCCAGCCGTATGATTCTGATTCTAGCATAAACAGGTTAACAAAAGAGACTGGATTCATTATGAAATATCTTCTTTTGCAGGGCAACCATTTGACCCTTCATTTTCAGTACTAAATGCGGTTTCTAATGTCATATGTGCTTTGAGTTTCGGACATCAGTTTTCTGCAGAAGATGAAGAGTTTCAGAAGCTGGTTCAAGCTCTTAAAATTATTTTCAAATTCTTTGGTGACTCTTTTCATGCGGTGAGTCCAGTGGTGGGATTCAATTTTTTTTTTACTACCAGTTCTGCAAGTGTGGCTTGATGGGCATGGCATGGGAAGGATACCGTAAAATCTCCATTCTCACCTCACTTCAGGGGAAGGATACTGCAAAATCCCCATTGCCTCCCCACCCCACTAACCTGCTTTTCAGGTCTGTTCTCCTGTGCAGAAGAAGAAGATCCAGCTGATCAGCTGGGACTTGGGAGACAGAGAACAGATGGGGGCAGGGCATTGAGAGGTGGTATTTGCCGAATCTCCGAATTACTCAAAATTTCTGCTACTGGTTCTCCAGAACTGGTCAGAACCTGCTGAATACCACCTCTGGGGGAGTCATGTTTTCTAATAAGGAGACAAAGCCACCAAACAAACTATGTTTCCACCAGTATTTTCATGGAATCCTAGAATGGGCAGCATGGAGGAAGTTTTGGAAATGCTCTCATCTACTCTACTTCCCAGTATATGTGTGTGCGCGCGCACGCGCACGTGTGTGTTGAGTGAGTCTTGACTCTAGGTGAGAGCCTGGACAAGTTTCTGTAGATTTCTTGTCAAGATTGGAAGTGGTTTAGCATTGCCCACTTCCTAAAGATTGACTCAGGGTCACCCAGTTGACTTAGTGCCTGATTAGGAATAAAAATTACTGCCTCCCTGCCTTTACCACTGAACAAAATTGGCTCTCTCCATGGAGGAATCCATCATTTCAATATTGGGAGCAGATGAAATTATGCAGATAGTCATTGTCTTAGTAGCATAATTGAGCCTAGAATTTTGATCGTAAGTCATTGTGGTTGGAAGTTGTGCCATCATGTGACTGGACTTAATATTAGAACCAATTTTACAAAGGCTGTAAAGCAAGTCAGCATAGATATTAAGCAAATCACATGTTTGTAAGTCTGAATCCAGCTTATCTGATGGATGTGGTTTTTTTGCTGAAAAACTGCAAGGTTGTAAAGTTTGTTTGTTTGTTTAGCATATGGCAAGTTGTAAAGTTAAATCATGTGACTGCAGAAAGCTGCACCAGTCATAAATGGAAGCTGGTTACCAAGCATCCAAAAATGTAATTATGTTGGGTTATGGTGAGAGAGGGGGGTGGGTGGAGGGAGAGGAAGAAAGATGTTTAACCTGTATTTCACAATTTCTCTATTACAATCTCATGTGAAAAATGGTTAAACATTTGGCTGAATTCAGCATACACTAAGTACACACACACACAAACACACATGGGGAGAGAGAGGGTGGGCTTTCCTTTCCATTCACACAAACAAGCAAACAAGCAGGGGGTGGGACTGGAAGACCTCCAAGGTCTCTTCCAGCTAGAATAGAATAGAATAGAATAGAATAGAGTAGAGTAGAGTAGAGTAGAGTAGAGTAGAGTAGAGTAGAGTAGAGTAGA